GCCTGGGGGATTTGCAATCATGCATTTCACTTTCATTGCATCTCCCGTTGGTTAAAGACTCGACAAGTTTGTCCTTTAGATAATAGAGAATGGGAGTTTCAGAAGTATGATTCATTAAATACTTTTATTCCTGCGTTACCCGCGATTTCTATACTACTACAAGTACATCTATGAACTTTCCCTTGATGGTTAATGCTGTTTTCTATCCAATCCTTTACAGATATGGTCGATAAAAGATTAACTATCGCGGGCAAAGCTTGCAACAAAGATGCTATAAAATGTCATTTTATACGTTCATCCCACAGAAACCGAGAAACTAGCGACTGTCGCTCCTTTTCGAGCTTCGTTAAATACTTATACCATAAAGCATCTAGAAATTCTAATGTTAAAAATAGTCACCTTTTTTTCTTTTAATAAAATCAATTGACAAATGAGCATATTAGTTTTACTGGCAACTTTTACAACGGATTTCAATGCGAAACAAATGGTTTTCTTACTTGATAGAGAGTTAGAGACTTGATAAACCTAAAATTACGAGAACAAACCTATCGTCATTTTTACTTGTAAACCGTGTCGAATATCGAATACATTTCTCTAGAAACCTTAAAAGCAAATGAAGTTGAAAGGAAAAAACGATTAAAGCGTTAGTAAATTTCAATATAATAAAAAAATTTCACTATTCGATTATCAGTGGTCCACAAAAAAAAAAAAAACATTCAGAAGGTGTCCTAAAGGTCCGTCATAAGCAAACATCGGAAAGTGAAGAAATTCATATATTATCCATCACGATGATCTTTTTTTTGTGTTTACGTAGAAATACTTGGTACTAGTTATTAAAGAACTGTCTGCAAGAAATACAAGATACATTACCTTTGATAGCTTCCCCTAGATGTGAGATGTTGATGTGTATATATATACGATCATGAGAATATTACGTATGGTTACACGAGAAAGATTTTCAAGATATGTACAGTACGTACCTCGTCTTGTGTCACCAATAGAAAAAGAGATGACGCTGCTCCCACGCGTTATACGAGCACTGGAAAAAATCGCGCCTTTGTCACTTGCCGAAAGTTCGTGGGATAATGTAGGTTTACTCATAGAACCACCGTACACTAAACCTAAAGCCTCTCGCGTTTTCCTTACCGTTGACCTAACACCGACCGTTTTAGAAGAAGCACTCTCAGATGAAAATGTTGGTGTAATTGTAGCTTACCATCCCCCAATATTCCGACCATTTAAGAGGTTAAATATGAATGACGTGAAACAGGCTATTGCAATGAAATGTATAGCTCATAATGTTGCGGTGTATAGTCCACATACTGCCGTTGATTCGGCCGAGGATGGAGGTATGACATATCCGGGGGTGGTGAAAGAACGGAAATATCAGATGATGTGTTAAGGATTATTTTTTTCTGTCGAAGTGAATGATTGGCTTGCCAAAGGTCTCGGATTAGGTTCTATTCGAGCAATAACACCTGCAGAGAATCCGCCTCCAGGTTAATTGGTTTCACCCTCGGCGATTTCACTGTGTATATACGTAGAAGTCTTATTTTTGTTGATTTATATAGGTCAAGAAAAAGCAGGTTCGGGTCGAATATTTACCTACCATCAGCCTGTTCCGTTGTCAATTGTGATCGACCGGATCAAAAAGCATTTGAAAATCCCTTATGGTATTATTACACTCCCATAGCATTAAAATAGTGACGAGCGATATGTGAATTTTTTTGTATATTCACAAGTATTATTTTTAAAATAGTCAGAGTTGCCAAAACTGAGAAACATGGTTCAACATCGGATGAGTTAATTTCGACAGTTGGGATTTGTGCTGGGTCAGGTAACAACTTATTCACATTCACTCTAATAAGTTATATTATGGTTATTGAATGCGTTTTCTTTGGGGGTTTAAACTAGGTTCATCGGTACTTCGGCCTGCCGAGGTTGATCTCTATCTTACAGGAGAAATGTCGCACCACGATGTACTTTCGGCGCTGGTTAAAAATACCAGTGTTGTCTTGTGTAAGCGATTATTCATCATCATTGATTCAAAATTTTCATAACTTGCAGAAATCATGAAAAGAAAATAAAACCTTTTTAACACACAGGCGAACATTCGAATACGGAAAGAGGGTATTTGTCTGACGTACTGAAACCACTAATCGAAAAAGAATTTAAGAATGATGGTACGAACGAAATGTTTGAGGTGGTGGTAAGTAAGTCGGACAAAGATCCATTGGAAATAGTTTGAGTCATGGATACCTAGCCCTTAGATTTGGTTGAATGTCTTGGCAAAGTCGTGTAACGCTAAAAGAATAGGCATTTATGAATATTAATACTGTTGACATGTAAATATTTAAAATCGAATCAATGTAAAATTGATTAGTGGTAGTTAAACAATAAAGTAAAGAAGCACCCGCTTGGTACTCCCAAATTAGGTTGCATGCATTGTCTAACGATGTACGTCACCGTCATCGTCTCCCATCGATTGACATGCACGATTTTTTTCTTGTCGAATTCCATCTTCATTAATTCTACATCCTGAAACAATCAAAACTAAAATTCACATTCTTTACATACCTTTCATAAACACTCTTTTAATCTAATTTCATACATTAATATCTTGCCTATTGTCATATCCATTTCGCCTACGCAGTGTCATTTCTCGTCATATTTTCTCTTGTCAGACGAAAAAAATGGCAACCCTAACAACTCTACCCACCGAACTTTTGCAAGAAATTTTCTCGCAACTAAGTTGGCAAGATTTAATTTCCTGTTTCTACCAGAATTCGAGACTTTTTTGTATTGTGGCCTCCTTCGTTTGGAAAGATTT